AATAAAAGAACAACCAAATAGCAACAACAATGTAGCAAGCAATTTTTAAAGTTTGAGACACTGTTAGTGAATGTGCATGTGGGTGAATTTGATCGCAAGCATGCATGCATAATTCATTCTAAGGCCAGGTAAGTATCCATTGATCAATCAAGGTACTCCAACCAAACAAACAAACCCAAACTAAAACGAGATAATTACTGCGTCTCTCTGGTTGTATCTTTCCGTATGTCTGTCTATGTATCTGTGTGTTTGTTTGTATGTATTTGTTTGTTTTTATGAGTGTGTGTCTAGTTTATATTACAAATATAGAATCAGGGTAGTTGTATTATATTAGCTAGCCCAGTATTCAGGTGGAAAATAATTATAATTAAGTGTATGTATGTGTGCGTGTGTTAGCACGCGCGTTGTGTGTGTATGAGTGTGTGTGTGTATGTGTGTGTGGAGGGTGCGTGCGTGTGTGCGTAATTATATGAAAATGTTTTTTTTTACTGTAAAAATAAATCCATTGGAAAAACTAATTAGCGCCATTTATAAGTGGAAGTCATAATTCAACATATGATCGAACGGTTTTTCTCTCTTTCTTCTGAGATCATCGCAAACAAAACACACACACACGTACACACACACACACGCACACACACACACACACACACACATAGTTCGCGTTTTCAAGTACTCAAACATGGAAACGAACGTAAATACTAATTTACGATCATAAAAGGACAATCAGGTATACATGGGCAAGTGCAACAAAAACAACAAATATCTATTTGAAGGTTTATATTACCTACATACCTGCACATACATACAATCAAACATACATACATAAATACAAACATATGTACAAACATACATAGAGTTTTCTGATGTATAGGCGCGCCAATAAACAAACACAATAAAATGGATTGGAATTATATGAAATAGGAACAGATGAACAGTAAAACACAGACCTACGGACAATTTCACACGCACACATTCACTCACACGCACGCACACATACACAGACACACACAAAAACCAGAACACCACACTTTTGAAAACGAAACATCCTTCCCATGCTATTACAAAAAACACGAACAGAAAGTTGCACATATAATAGCAACTCTGAACTAAACTCAATCTTTATAGAGGAAATAGTTATGATGAATATTTTGAAACTTAAAGAATGGTAAATATATATCTGATTCGAATTCTCATACAAACATATACACATACGCACACGCACGCACGCATACACACTCTTTCTCTCTCTCTCTCTCTCTCTCTCACACACACACACACACACGCACTAACATTCATACGAGCAAGTGTCAACGATGGAAGATATTCTTTGAGAGGAATCTTAAAAGAACTTCAAATCTCATCAGCATCTCGCCAGGCAACAAACCGCAGACCGCAGACCCCTAACGACCAAAATGATTATATAAGTGTCCATTTCTCTTCTGTGTTTTGCTCATTTTTTCTACTTATTTTTTCACATTCTTCTCTCTCTCTCTCTCTCTCTCTCTTTGTTTTTCTCTCTTTTAATGTATGTCTGTGTTCTCTCTCTCTCTCTCTCTTTGTATGTATGTCTGTGCGTTTGTGTCCGTCTGTTTGTATGTATGTTTCAAAAAAACATCTAGAAACGCGTACTCTACACCTTAAAAATACCTTAAATCTTTTTTTCACACGAATTATACCTGAATGTATGTACATCGGTATTTTTGTACGCACTTATCGCGATATTTTATCCATTTGTATCTAAATCTATTGTATGTATTTGTATCTAAATCTATTGGGTCTATTTGTATCTAAATCTATTGTATCTATTTGTATATAAACCTATTGTATCTATTTGTATTTAAACTTATTTTATCTATTTGTATCTAAACCTATTGTATCTATTTGTATCTAAACTTATTGTATCTATTTGTATCTAAACCTATTGTATCTATTCGTAATTGTTGGAAGAAAATGAAATATCGTATAGTATTATCGCGTATTCGTGCATCTAATGGAGCGTGAAATTATTTTTAATGTATCTACTTTATATTTAACGAATACAGCTGCATTGTTGTTTTTATGCTTTTGTCCTATTTCTAATTATTTGGAATTATTATTAATAATATTTTTTTTATTTTTTATAATTACTATTATTATTTATCATCATTATTGTAACTATTTATTATCCAGAGTAATTTTTATTTATTATTCATAAATATAGTATATTTTAAAAATTAAATTTGAATGTGATGACACATTTTTGTCTCCAATGGGTTCATTCCCGATTGAACTCAAGTTTTTGAAGTGATAGATGGCAACGATGATCTAGACGATGATGATGAAGATGATGAGAAGATGAAGATGATGAGAAGATGAAGATGATGATGATGATGTCACATCAATAATAATTATGACATCAATGATAATGTGATGATAATTGTGATGACAACGACGTTTATGATGAGGGAGTGATAATAGCGATAACGATGATGACCACTACAGATGATGATGATGACGAAGACGACGATAATAGTATGATGATGATGCTGGTGATGATGACCACAAATAGCATAAAAGGGTAGCCCATTTAACACCGAAGTTACATCTGCTTTTGTAAACTTATGCATGATTTTTATTGTCCATTTTTATGCTCCCTTCCAGCCAGACGCAAGCCTTCAATGTATGTACTCACTCACAATTACCACTAGCTACTGTAATAAACATAGATTTACGACAACTACCTTTGCTAATACTTCTTCGCAACAAACACTACTATTACTGTCACTACTACGGCTACTGTCAATGGCGGACCTAGGGAATCAGTGGGGTCATGCTCCACCCACCCAACGTTATGGACTGTGTTTTCATTGAAAATCAGTAAAACTCAGTTTTGGAGAGAGAAAAACACCATTTTTAAGTGGAAAACCGACCAGAAATTGGCGTTGTAAGCTAAAAAAAAGTCACCGGCCTAACTTTCAATTTTGAAAACACAAAAGCAAGCATTCCTTGCCATCCCCATCAGATGTCAACGGTTTTAAAATTTTGGTCCGCCCGCGTCAACGTTTTCTAGATGCACCACTGGCTACTGTCGCGACTGCTAGAGCTGCCACTAGTCCTGCTGTTATTATTGCTACAACTTCTCTTGCAACCACTACTGCTGCTACTGTTGACATTTATATTAATTACTTAATTGTTAACGGTACACCCACTGCTTCTTATATGTTACTTCTACCTGCTCCCTTGATTAAAATTACTTTTAGTAATATTTTTTAATTATTATAATTGTGAGCAACTATAATAATATTGATAACATTTTTTATTGAAAAAGAGTAATGGACAAATAAAATACATGAACGCACTAACACCAAAAAAGTGAGTTTTTCCTTTCGTGCACATAAACTAACGTACTAGAATAGACATACAAATTACGAACTAAATATACTACGATGCAATTGTTACATATTGAATTCTATTATTTATAATAAAAATATTCATATGTATTTTTGTGTATTTTGTGTATGTTTATGTGTGTGTGTATGTGTTGCTGCGTGTGTATGTGTTGTGTGTTTATGTGTGTGTGTGCGTGTGTGTGTGTGTGCGTGTGTGTGTGTGTTTATGCGGCACGTTCGTAAGTAAATCAACAGTTAAATTGCTTACGTAGAAAGAAAATAAAAGAAAATCGCCTAATAAAATAACTTTATGCGCGGTATTATAAGCTCTGCCGCATTGGTGAAGAATTTTTCGGTATAGAAGCTTGCGGTATGGAATATTAATGTACTATAATGTACCTATAGCATTTTGCGATATTGTATTTTAGGAAATCCTTAAAACCATTTTATAGTACGTTCGCAGCACCAACATCACTAATCTGCTGGATTATCTGATTGAAAGAAGCTGGCCTGCCAAGTGCTAATCAGAATGTTTAGTTGTGTTTTTATGGCGGTAATAACATTTCCAGTAAAATTTTAAAACAACTTATAACAACTTATAAAACTATGCTTATGCTTATGTTTAATAATATAATGAGAGGTGGGTTTTGAAAATATGATGGTGAATTTTGTTAAAAAAAATTTGATTTATTTTGATTTATTTTGATTTATAACTATTGAAGAAATAAAATCTATCTTCAATAGTTATTAAAATTAGTTAGAAAATAATCAGTGTTATAAGTTGTTATAAGTTGTTTTAAAATCTTACTGGAAATGTTATTACCGCTTTAAACAGAATTCACTTCCACCATGCCATCAGTCATGTCAATGTCATAATGAAGAATGCCGTCTATTTAACAACTAAAAAATTAGTTCAAAAAATAGTATAAAATAAATAGAATAATGTGATTAATACTGAACTATCAACGAATAATAGTGATCGACATATTTTGTAACTCATTTTGGTCATTTTGCAAATTTATGAATGATTAAAATAATTATAATGCGCTTTAGAAGTTTAATACACTTTTAGTCATACGGTCCATTTTGTCCATTTGCATTAATCATTTAATGGATTTGTTTCTCTTGCGAAATCTAATTTGTAGAGGCATTTAGTGAAAAATGATATTATAAGTTATCATTAAATCTTCATTACTTAAGTTTTCGCCATGAAAATCAACTTTTCGCTCAAGTGTCATTCAATAAGCGATCTTTTTATTTTGGTAATTTTCCACTAGTAGCTCAAGGCCTCTATTCTATTTCATTTCATTTATTTAATTCGCTACTTGGAGCTTCGTCACTAGGAATAAATTTAAGATATAAATAGTCGGCAGTTCACAATTGTTCGGCTTTTAGTTCTCTCTGTCTAATTTGATAACTTCTTTATAATTTTAATCAGGCTTTTCGTTTTAGAATTTTGTTCAATTTTTCCGATTAAAATAAATGAATAAATTATTTAATTAATAAAATTATAAAATTAATTATTCCAGCATTTCATGGCTTCCAGTGATAGTTGCTAATTAGTGTCTGTAAAAAGTCTGGATGCCATTTTTGTCTATCTTTGTTTCAACTGAGTCCCCATATAAAAGAATGAATGGCGATTCTAACAGCAAGGATATTGTAAATAAAAAGTTAATTACTGATTTTAAATGTAATTCTAACGAAATTGACGATAACAATTTTGAATCTGTTTCGAACGCTGTTAATAAAGTAGATGAAATTAAACTCGATAATAATAGTTTGTTGGCCTCAAAACAAAGAAAAAGTTCATTTCAGATTACAAGTATCATTGAAAAAAGTTCGGAAAAATTGAATACAATGGTTGAAAGTCTGTCAGAATCTACCATACCAACTTATTTGAATGGTCAGGTTAGTGATATTAGCATAACACCTGTAAATAGCACCCCTGATTCAAGTCTTTCATCTGTTATTAACAATGACTACCCAAAAGAAAATTTAATAGATTTAACACAGGCTGTCAAATTTGACAATTCGTCAATAACTAGTCAACAACAAGTCAATTGTGAAAGCGTTAACAGCAATGTCAAGATACTCAACAAGTTTCCTGAAACTCAGTCAAGGTTTAAAGTTGTACGAATTTCGAGTCGTCGAAAACCCATAATGAGAGGTCGCTGGTCGTGTCAGGATTTTGAATTTGACAAACCTAACACTGGTCAGTATATCTCTCATTCGTCAATGTACAAAACGCCAAAGGTGTCTATTCCAGAAGGCACTGTTGCCAACGGAATGGAGGAGAAACCAACAAGTCAGGACAGTGGTTCTGGTAACTCAAGTGTAGTTAATTCAATCTATTACATTGGGGACGATTCTTCTAATCTGTCAATTCCATTTGGGATGGTGTACGCAAATGGGCACCTGACACTCGACACCATCCTCACCAATCCGCACTCTTCGGGGTATTCTTCGACTGCCATCATTCGTGACCAGAACATCAACTTAGATGACCTTTATAGCTTAGTCGTGCCAGATTTAGAAAATAATGAAAACCTTTTTGGCATGTCATCCATTCAAGATAGATCCAACATTCCAGATATGTCTGTAACTGAAAACTGGTTTGTTTAAATATTTTTCATTATTATTTACTTACTTATTTTTTTTTTATAAAATTTAGATGATCAAAAATTTTATTGTCATCTTTCATCTTCTTCTTTTTACTCCATCATCTTGTTATACTTTGCATTCTTCGAAAGAGGCATTTCAGGTTAAGCAAATTCAAGGTTATTTATTTCAAATGTCTGAATGAAGAGAGAGAGAGAAAAAGAGAATGAGAAATTTTTGATAACCTAGCAAGTCAATATACTAATATATATGTGTTACACATTTATAAATAAAAGTATTCTAGTGATGAATTATATGGGAATTTAAGTCTAACAGTTTGATACAACAATTGCTACATTAAATAGTTGCTATTTTACTAGCCCCACAAGTACACACAAACTCATTCATAAATATCTATTTTAAATGTTGCTAATGTTGATATTGTTATATCATTAATGTATACATGAAATCAAATTATGTTCTCTATATGTTCATCATGCTTCTTCTTAGAATCTAATATATGATGCAAGAGAATGATTGCATAGCATATAATAATGTAATATCAACATTTACAGTATCAACATTGAACAACTGATTAAACACTGCAAAGTTTATTAACTTGTCTAAGCCTTGCTAGATCATTATCATCTTCACTGTGAAGTGATAATATTTGTAGGAGGTTGAACCAGGTTTTACTTGGTTACTCATTTACCATGTTTGATACAGTTTTTGTTCAGTTTAATAACAGAAGTGTTTGCTGTTACTTAGAATTTAGAGTGTGAATGCTATGTTAGTTTTATGTTGTTTGACATAAACTTCATGTTATGATTTCTCAATAATTTCAATTTGCATAGCAGGCTAGAATACTAATTCTTTTATACTTACACATATAGTATATAATATTGCAGGTATTTATGAATGTGTTTGTATGTATTTGTTTGTTTGTGTTGTTTGTAGTTGTGTATACTAAACCATGGTTTATGTATGCTCATTGTACACTTGTATGTCCTCTGTTTGAAAAATTTCTTGAGAATTTTTTATAATGAGTTGTTAATGGCATGCTGTGATGGTTGCAATGGCTGTGATTGTCATCTTTGCTCTGTTTGCATGTTTTGTTTTGCTTTTGTTAATGTTGATATTGTTATATCAAGGTTGTTATTGTTATTTAATTAATGTATACATGAAATCAAATTAAGTTCTCTATGTGTTTATCTTGCTCCATCCTAGAATTTAATATATGATGTAAGAAAATGAATGCTTTGCATATAATGTAATAGATAAAGTTGTATGTGATGATGAAGATAGTGATTTAAATAATAATAGTATTGGTAGTAGTAATTAATGAGGATTTTAATTAATTAATTAAATAATTGTTCCCATTGTTTTTTGAGTTACCCAGAAGTGCAGATGATTAGAGCATTAGGAATTCCCTTACTGAATTCTCCTAATTCTAATTACATATTTGTTTTTTCTGCTGTTATATATAATAATTTTGCTGACTGCAGTTATGTCAATTTTGATTATATTGCATGAAATGTTGTATTATTGTTATTAGCATCATTTGCTCCTGACATTATCATTTGTTTAACTTTAATCCGTTATGAATGATTGATAACTGTAGATAAATCAAAAGGACAGTTGTACTGCTTATCATTTATTCATTATGTTGTTGTCTTCCTCATCGTCATCATCTTAGATGTTATTATTGTGGTTTGATGTTTATAATAAATCATAGTACATCTTCACCAATATGATGATAGCATCATCATACTTATATCTTAATACTAGAAAAAACCATTGTATCTGCTATGATTTTCTTTTTCACATTATCATCATCATTGTCATAACCTTTCACACTTCATTCCTCATCAAATCATCTCTATCTTCATCACCAGCCTTGTCACCACTATTGTCATCATCAATTGTTTTGCGTGTTTGTGTGTGTGATGTGTGTGTGTGTGTGTGTGTACGGTTGTCAGCTTAATTATAATTTATTATGCCTTGCCTTGCCTTGCCTATCCTCTTAACTAATTATTTTATTTATTGTAATTACTCCTTTTTATTATATTCAATAATACTAATACTATTATTATTATTAAGTTGTAGTCTTTATAACCATAACCTAATAGTGAAACTGTAACTGAGTTGTAGATTTATATAATACTAAAATATGATAGTAATAATGTTACATTACATTGTACTGTTTATTATTATTGTTGCCTTGTTGTCACCATTAAAAATATAAAATATTTGCTATAAATTAAATCGTTATTATTTTGTTGTTGGGCATCTGTTTTATTGGTGTTGTTGTATTGTGATGTTTTTATTATTCTTGTTTTGTTTTTTATTATTCATCTTTTTGTCTTGGCTTATTTATTGTAGTTTATTTTTTTATATCTCTAGCCTAAACTTTGTTACTGTGTTATCTTTAACAAATTATAAAACTGTATTTTCTCATTTTTTATCTCTCCTACTATATTCTATTGTGTTTTTTTTTCAATTTATCTTTTAATCTATATTTATTACTAATAATCAAACTTTTAAAAATATTATTTTATTTATTTTTCTTTCCTTTTTGTAAATTTGTTTTTATAATTAGATTAAAAATAATAGTGATTGTTGTTATCATGATGTTATAATGATATAGATATTAGTTAGTATACTAAGTAATATAATATATATATATATATATATATATATATATATATATATATATATATATGTGGATGATAATAATGATATGTTAAGAACAAGTACTTCTTGATATTTAGACAGTTTTTTTTGTCTCTTTTTCAGAAATATAAAGTATTTGATTTATGATGAAGGGGAGGTATCTTGGTTACAACTCATATTAATGTAATGATAGTAATCATAAAAATAATAATGATGATGATGGTGGTGATAATATTAATCATACAAGTAGTTATTCTAATAGTAATAATATATATATATATATATATATATATATATATATATATATATATATATATATAATCATTATAATGATGATAATAATGATATGTTTCACATATAGCTTGTATTGTTTTTCTTTATTTGTGTTTGTCTCAAATGTCATTTTGTTATCATAACTATCTTTTGTTTGTGTTTCCTATCACCATTATCATTTATTTGACATAATAAATGGTGTTCTTGCCTGTGTTACCTTTAATTTATATATATTTTTTTTATAACAGGTTATTATTGTTGTTCTATAACACATGTTTATTTAGTGTAACTGTACCACTAAAAAGACAGGTTGTTTGTTTACTTTACAATGTGTGCCAGTAAGTAAGTTCATCTTTATCTTCATCTACTTTATCATCTTCATCTTTCTCCATCCCTTTCATCATCATCATTACTATCCTGATAAGTAGCTATAGCAACAGATGTATCATTTTCATCATCACTGTTTAAATTGGAAAATAAGAAGATATTAATTATAATGTATGTACTGCTTCTATTAATTCATAATTGAATTTTCAATAATTTTTAAATTTACTTTTTTATTTTTTAGATTTAGAACGAGAGTAAAAAAATTAATTATATTTTTCTGCTTATAATTCTATATTCTTCCTTGAATCTAAATTTGGTAATTTTTCATCCCCTTCTGTTTTCTTCAGTTAAATAGTTAATTGAATATTTATATGTTGAGGATTAAAAATATTTTATTCGTTTTTATTAATATCTGTTGAATGAGTTTTCTCTAGGATATCCCAATTCATCAATCTAAATTTTTTTTTTAATCAATAATTTTATTAATTATTATTTTATTATAACTTTTATTATTTATATTATTATTTATATTGATATTAATTGTGATATTACTATTGCTCTATATGTGATGCCATGTTAATGTTAGATAGGGTGAAGTACTTATATAGTATAGTATGATAAGATAAGATCATCAGACTTACTTATTTCTATGGAACACTCAAATCTAGCTATCTGTCTGTCTGTTCATATATTAATCTCTGTCTGTGTGTGTGCGTGCGTGTCTGTTTATCTTTATGCTTGATTGTCCATATATCTCTCTATTTGTGTGTATATATCTATACATCTATTTTCATATCTATCTATCTTTATCTTACAATGTAGGTATCTATCTATATATCCATCTATATTTCTAGCTTTCTTTCTGTATGTATCTATCTCTCAACCTGTCTATGTGATAATGAAAAATTTTATGGTGTAATCTTTATATACACGCATTTGTTTGTGTTTTAATTTGATGCTTGTTTACAGTAACTCTGTGCTTATATTATAACAGGAACATATGGTTGAGAAATGGAGGCAAGAGAGGGAGAGAGAGAGAGAGAGAGAACATCTAATGGGGTGGTAAAATAATATCTAGATAAGAAACACCTTCTACTAGTCAGTAGTTTATATTTGGATGGTTATTTGGTGAATGGATGAATGACTTTCATTCATTGTTGTTGATGGGGAGACTGTTTAAAATATAAAAATTGTGATGATAATAGTAATGGTAAATTGTGATAGTAGTTTTTATTGTAAACAATGGTTATATGGTATTTGTGCCAGCAGTTTACCTGTCGTGTTTTTTTTCAGTGCTTGTTTGGAAAATTAATCCAAAAATAATGAATGTTTAAATGATGTACTTTTTGTTTTTGGCGTGTAGGATGATGCGTTGTTGGTGTTTGAAATCTATTAAAACTATATTCTTTCCAAATGTATACAACCTTCTTATTATCTTGAAAGTATTTTTAGACATTGCATTGCATGCTTATATGTGTGTGCGTGTGTGTGTGTGGTAGGGGAAGGTAAACTTTTATACTATGTGTTTATGTATGTATTGGTGTTATCTTTGGCTATACTTTATCATTTATTTCATACATTTTTTTATTTGTTTATTTGGCTATGGTGTTGGTGTAATTTTAGAAGGAAAATGGTAAAAAGTAATATCATAATATAATTGTTAGTAATAAAGGCAAATGTGTGAATGAATGAATGAATGAATGTGTGAATGAATGAATGAATTGAGTGAATGAATAAATGA